AGTGGAAAATTGTTCATAATAACCATCATATTCCTCCTCACTTTCCATCTGTCTGTGTATATATTTGTGAATGTGAATGAATTTCGTGGAAAACAAAAAGTTGGTAGCAGTATGTGTGTGTGTGAGTGAGAGAGAAAGAGAGAGCGCTTGTTTTCCCAATGACTTGTATTCATGATAATTTATGTTTTGTCGATATTACTAATATAGTGTGTGAAGGTGGTAGTAGTTTTTCATATTGTGTAGTCATGTCGCTAAAAATAACAACAACAACAACTGTGGGAATATAGAAATGAATCTTTCTCTCTCTCTCTTATTAACCCAATAAGAAGACACTTAATAAAGGGAAGAATTAATAAAGATCTTACTGGCTAAATCAACAAATATAAGAATAAAACTTGTGCACTGTGGTGGTAGAGTGTAATTCCATTATGGGTAAAAATGTTTTTGATAAAGGCTCACAGTGGTGACGAAATTCTCTCATGTAGCCTTTGACAGGCAAGTACTATTCACAAGCTTCATGCAGTGAGAGAAAGGGTGAATCCGAACGTCTAGCACTTACAATCGGACTAGTGAACATGCTTGTCAATCTAGGGGAGATCAAAGGGTGTTAGATGGTTGGAGGCAATCGGCACGAAGCCACTTTTGGCCTAGGTTTCGTGCTAGTTGGCACTCGTCAGCAAGGCATACCTGCAATCTCGAAGGAATTTATGTCCCTTCTGAGATTCGAAACCGCGTCACCCAGTTCTGCAGTCAGAGACGTTACCACTGAGCTATTCGAATGGTATATGAATCTATCTTGGTCACCATGGGAACACAGTTCATGACGTCACTCCACTGTCTTGTGGATAAGAACTACATGTTCGGTAAATTATGAGTCATTACACTGTGATAATTATTGCCAGGATGTTTTGCACACATATAACAGAAACTATCTGAATAAATTTCTTAAATAACATCATTCTGATATAAAGGTCTCACAGTGAAGTTTTGCTTTACCGTCTCCATTTATTGATTATATTTCTGGATGGTTAGAAGAGTCATTCCCATCACTTCAAGTTTTCTAACCGATGAACTATTATTGATATAAGAATGAAACTTGTACACTGTGGTGGTAGAGTATAATTCCATTGTGGGTAAAATTTATTTTGATAAATTCTCACAGTGGTGTTATAAAGTAAGTAATATTTACTGATGACCACGTTTCGAGCACAATTTATTGCCACTCATAATCATATCAAGACACTTCACACAACTTTCTAATTTTGTTTATGTAATTTCATTATTTCCACTCATCGCTTGACTTGATTGGTAGTATTATTTTGCATATTTCCGGTAGGAGTGATAAGTCATTCTCCTATTGCATGTGTTGGGTGCAGGTAGACTCGATGAACAAGGCTGGATTCAGTAATCAATCTCTATCTCTCTCTCTCTCCACCTACCTAGATTACTTTTTAGAATTTTAACCCAAAAAAGTAATCAAGGTAGGTGGAGAGGGGTTGATTACTGAATCCAACCCGGTTCATCGAGTCTACACCAAACACATGCAATAGAAGAATGACTCATCACTCATACCCGAAATATGAAAAATACTACTACCAATCAAATCAAGTGAAAAACAATGGAACTATATAAATAAAGTCAGGAAGTCGTTTGATTACCTTGATATGATTATGAGCAATAAATTGTGCTCGAAACGTCTTCACTAAACATTACTGTACAACATCACTGTGGGACTTTATCAAAATACATTTTACCCATAATGGAATTAAATCAACGGATATCTTTCAATGCGGAAATACTGTAGAACAATGAGGGGAAATAATTAACTAGTAAATTGAGGAAAGATGTTATGTCGTATATTATTATTATTACGATTACTAATAAAATAGTCGGTGGTACAGCGGTTATGACACTCGCCGACCATGCACATGGCGCGGGGTTCGATTCCCGGCCGACGCACTCATTTACCTCGCTAAGCCAGTGGTAAGGCTGGTAAAGAGGGAACTTCAAGCCTCTAGCTTAAAGACCTATGTTCCACTGGGAACATAAAGTAATAAAAAAGATTATTTAAACAGACAGTAAGAAATACGCCACAGAAAATCGCGTAGTTTATGCAAGGACTGGTATATACTGCATGGAATCTAAGACTGAAGTAGCAAATGGTTGTCTTAAGCAGCCATCCCCTGTCCACCTCCCACTCTTAATCCTTTGAATTGAAGATTACTCCATTTGGCAGTGAGTGGCACAGATTCAGAAGTTACATTCTCCTGATGTTTCTGATAACCGAAAACAGGTTCGTACGGTTTTCTATCTAATCAGATTTTGGACAACATTTTTTACACCATAGGTTTGGAGTCTTAGATCTCTAGCTCCCTTAGGTGTAGACGAGCATGTCCATCAGTCTAGTTGTGAGCTGTAGATGTTCATATTCAATTTTTGACTTTTGTAAGGAACCTTCATCGCCTCGTGAAAGTGGTGAATAGTACTTACCATTCAGAAGAGGCTATGAATTCGTGACCGAATGACAGCGTTTTTGAGAAGAAGACTGAAGTCTACCCACCTTCCTGCTAAGCAGGTTGCTTATCCAGTCTAGCTGGACATAACACTCAATGACTGTCATGATATGATGACTTGTCCAACCTTCCTGCTTTGCCTGGCATATATAATCAGCTAAGGGGGAGGGTACAGTTGCACTCAGGGCGGAAACCGAACCCTGGACCACGGAGGGGGGGGGTTGTTTGTGGGCATTCTACCGATGAACCACTGACGTCAATATAGCAGACATAAATAGATGACGTGTTTCAACTATAGATTTCTTTTTAATAAATTTTATGCTGACATTTGAAATAACAATAAGTTGCAATCGAAATGTACAGATGTAAAGTACCGATAATTTATGTCCAAATGTTGCATAAACTCGAAGACTTGCAGGCGAAAACCAACAAGCTGGCTAAAGAGGCTGATAAATAAATCAGGACAGATTACAGGTGAACAAAGAGAAGACTGAAGGGATGCAGATAAACAACTAACAGACCAAAAGCAGTAACAACAACCAGCACCAATCACCGTCAATGGGAGAGATTTGTCAGGCGTTGCTTCCTACACTTATCCAGCCAGGAAGTACAGTTTCAACCACAAGCTGGCGGTGCTTTTTGGCATTTACCAGTCAGTAAGGCGTGTATCTGAAATCTTAAAGGACTTACTCACGTTCCTTATTCTGATTTAGACACGCGTCAATTAGTGCTGTAGAGTCAGAAGCGACGTTGACGTTGAACTATTCGGACTTGCGATTGACTTCCTTCACTTAGAAGTGTAATGAAATACTTTGATTATTAAGCAACAGAAATTCAGTTTGAACCAAAATCTGACGACGATAAGTGGTGCATGACGTAATTGAAAAATTATTAATATACCCTACGAATGGTGATAGTATATAAATTAGTGATCGATCGGATAAACAGCGTCGATAAACGCCCCGCCCCCCACTGGTTCCAATCTGTTATTAGAAACTGAAGAAATCAATCCTTAAATTTGTTTTACTCATTAATTTTAAGTGTTTTGCAATTTGACTAGCCTCTTGTTACTTGCCAAAATTGTATGTTATTATGCAATATGCAGGCGTTGGAAGTGTGTGTGTGTGTGTTTATATATATAATATACGGGTACATTATATATTATAACATACATGAAAAGTGTGAAATTAATTTACACTTATATTTGTCTGCAAACCAAACTTCACAATTATAATCTGAAGTTACCTGGAGTTTTTGTTAGAAATCGTAATCAATGGGGCCCACCAAGTAGGGTATGCTGACAACTAATCGCCAGTGTGTTGTCGGCAGGCGGGTACACCATATGTATATTGCGAATAGGTAGAAGTCGGAATTCAAGGGCCGTTAGATCAGATCCCATCGGCTGAGTGGTTTTGCGAGCTCGCCTTGTAAATCAAGGGTCCCAGATTCGAAACCTGGCGGATGCGTATTGCTAAAGAGAGTCCTACACCAGAGGATGAGACAGCTGTCATATCCTGATCAAACCTGTAACCAATCGAATCATTACAAGCAAACACTTGATAATATTTAATTCAATTTAAGATTTTCCCGTCGATTCATTGCACCAAAATGCTCGGTCTCAGGTTGACCTGTCGGTTTCTTGTGCAGATGCTTTGACTATGTCTGGTCATGTAATTAGAAGTTAATTAATGGATGGTGACTAGCAGTGGAATTCAGGATGCACATTTCGTCCAAATCAGGCCTAACCGCTCTAGATGGATGTGCCTGCATTCCCCAGTGAGTGGTGATGTTCCCCGCACCGAGGCTTGTACCCAATGCCCTTAGTTTCAAACGCCAAAGCGTTATCCACATGACCAATCGACTGGAAAATGTAAAACTGAATTAAATAATTCATATGACCCGTTGCATAAGAGATGGCTCTCGTGGCCCAAGTGGTCCAATGGATGACGCTTTGGTGTTTGAAACTAGGGGCACTGGGTACGAGCCTCGGTGCGGGTAACATCATCATTCCCTGGGGAATCCAGGCACATCCAGCCAGAGGACGAGTCTCAAATAGGACGAAATGCGCATCCTGGCTTGATTCCACTGCTAGTCACCATCCACCAATTTACTAGATAATATTAGTTACCTTAATAACTTTAATACTAATAATCTATAAGCAGCTGACGGAGTCGGGCGCACAAGCTAAGTAACCGGCGTAACGTAGTTGAGAGAGCCAAACTGGCTTAAAACCACTAAAAGTTTAATGAATACACAAGTTATGAATAGGCATCTTCCGACATAACTTGTCACCGGAAGTTCCTATATTCAAACTCTAGTTGGTGCATACTGATGAAAAATTCAAAACTGGGACGAAACGGCTATAAAATGAATCAAATTCCTACAGACAATCTGTTGGACGTTATATTTAAATAATACCCGGTCTATATTAACCTATACATGCAATCACTGACTTTCATCTTATATTTCTCTGTGTATTTTTCACAGGTTGGGGAGGTTCAGCATTCACCTCGGGCGATTACTTCTTTTGGATACCCATCCTAGGTCCATATATCGGTGCACTGATTGGTGCTATTCTATATGAATTAACTATTGGCATACATTTGGATCGTAAACCAGTATCACCATCACCGACAACAACAATAGTCACAACAGAACAAAGATATCATGATATAGATGCAACAGCAGAGCATAAAGCTGGTTCTCATCTACTTACTCGTGGATTATAAAAAAACCTTTTCCCGCCACATACGTACATACACAGGATGAAATAAATGTTTGTGGGACCCCTTTATGTCTGCAACCGCCGTACTATTTTTTTTCAACGCTTTTATCCGTATCTCTTCTTGTTCTTCATCGTGCGTGTGCGCTTCTACGGAAAAAAGGCTTAAAGAACTTCAACATTACCCGTTTCAATCTTTTCTCTAGCGAATTCTCAATTAACTGTTATCGTTACTGTGTGTTTTAAATGAGATTTCCCGCCTTCTCATGAATGTCTACTTTTCAGCATTTATTCATATTCTTTCTCCTTGTTACTCCTCCAAATACCTACCCCTCCCCTCCCCCCGAAGTACTCCTTCCTTATGTTTCTTATCTCTGCTTCCCAATTGGTTCTAATTGTTAATCGGAACTTTTTACGTCTAATCACCACCGCCATCAATAAATCGATCGATCGATCAATCGACCTAGTTCTTTACATATTTATTGCTTTATATTTTTCTTGTGTGTACACATTGGGCAAGTTGTCTGTATCGAAAGGGAGTACTTTTCTTCCTTTCCCGGAACAGTTAAACAGTTTTGCCCGAGTTTATTTAGTTCTTCTTCTTATATAAGTGTTCCATTTTTGTGTGTAATTAATTATTGTGTGAAAGCAACGCTTAATAGCTGAACACGTTGTCATGATGTATTCAGCATTCTGTTGAGAAAAAACAGGAGGAACTCTAAAAAAAATGTAAAATTGTTGAATATTATTCCATTTTACTTTCTTTTTGTCATAGTCACACTCCCTCACTTATACGCACCGACGCATGTGTCCGCGCCTCAACCCCCCCCCCGCCACCCTGAGCCTTGCACGCCTCACTACGCTTTCGCATTTTTTGCGCTAATTTCCGTTTTTTTTGCCAAATATGTGTTGCCATGTTAAAAGTCAGTCGATACAATAAACGTCTTCATCGTTACAGTTTCCATAGTATTATCGTTGTTATAATTGAAATTATTTTTTGCGTACAAAAATTAAATTATATACATAACAGTGTGAGAAATATTTTTTTGGCTGATTTTTGATTGATTCTTTTCTGTCCGCCTCTTTTATTTTTTTGGTTGGAAATAATTAATCCTTACAATGCTAAATCAGTCAGACAAACATTTTAGTTGGAATACTACTACTACTACTTATTTCGTTCTTATAAGTAGTAGTAGTAGCAGCAGTATTAGTCAGTTTCATAAACAGCAGATATATTTTGTGTTAAAAAATATTTGTGTGTGTGTGTGGATGTGTGTATTTTTGTATGTGGGTGTGTTTCATTTCTGAGGATGCTTAAAAAAATTGTATTAGAAACTTTTTTTTGTTTTTTTTGTATTTATTGATTTTGTAAAATGCAGGAGAAATGGGAGGGAGGATCGTTGGAAAGGTAGAGGTTAGTCTCCTTGAATTGGGTATATGACTTTACCGACTGGCTGACTTACTGACTGACTGACTGGTTTCAACATAGAACTTTACACAGATGTTCACCAGGTCAATTTGCCACAAGGTCTGTCCATGTAGTCCAAATAAAGTAAGAGAAAAGAGTAAAGTGAGAGATAATAAACCGAAATATGAAGAAACAAGAATGTTAATATGGGTGGGAGGGGGTACAATATAATTTTATTGGATATGATAGCGTCTGTGTCACAGTGGTTAGGACTCTCGGCGACCATACTCATGGTCCGGGGTTCGACCCCTACCGATGCACGCCTGATATATATGATCGACCTCCAAAATTTGGGCTACCGATATCACATGCTTAAAATGCCATACTTCTACCCAAAAGTACTGTGTGGAATCAAGCTGTAATAAAAAAAATGTCAAAGAGTGTATACATCTGCACCATCAGTGACAGTGGGGATTTTTAGTCAAATCACCAATAATTGTTTACAGCCTTCATTGATTCTTACCCTTCTGAGGACTTCAACCAGCTAGTCAAGAAGTCTACATCTACCTCCCTACGTGGATAGCTGGCTGACTGGCTCAAATTAACTGTTGTGGATTCGAATTAAGCGAGAACAACAATTTTTGCAACCCGTCATGACACGTGTCAAGGAGATGCCCAGCGATGGCATTGTTTAAAGCATTTTTTTCCGTTGAGACATAAGCTTTTTGGTATATGTTCAGGAAATCGTTGATATGCCCTTCTTCTTTCTGTTCTTCCAATGTAACTTCTCCCGCAGATACATGTAAACTTGTATATACCATTGGAGTTATTACCATGAGAAGGATATCTATCGATTTTTAATTGCACCAAAGAGCAAGTTGTTCGATAGAGGGGAACGAGCTTAGCTGCAAGATAGGCTCTGCGTAGTGATGATCTTAATCTCCTGTTGATCATCGCTGCAATATTTTCACCTTTATAATCAAGTTGAATGTAGATGGGCTCTTTCTCCACTGTGATTTGTTTGACATTTGAGACGTCAGATCTTCCATGGATATCACTGACTGACGAAGCCATGTTTTCTCTTGACCACCAAAAACTAACTATTTCGCAACCTGATCCATCCTATATCAGCTAACATTCCCCGTTGTCAAGGAAGGCGTTCGATGGCTAGAGATGCATGAGTAACACATGTCCTAACCATCTCAATCGATGTAACTTCACAACCTCTTCGACTGATTTCCTCTCGTTGCTTTACCTAGCACTCGGCCGATGGCTAACCTCAATATCGCTCACCTTGTTACACCATTTAACACGGAAGATACAACGCAGGCACCTGTGATCAAAGACAGATAGTTAGCCAGGCTTTTCATGTCTTCTCTTCCAATGGATATTTCCCACTCACAGACATAGAGTAGGAGGAGAAAGCGAAATGCTGAGCAGTACACATGCCGTTTGTTATGTAGCCAGCTAGATATCACGTCTACTTAACCAGAAATAGCGTATACATGGTATACATGCTGAGATTCCGTCAGCGACCAACAAGCTGGTGTTGGCTGATGCAACTCCTCAAAAATAAGTGAAGTTATTGTTATGTTGCTGCTGCTGAGTGGTTAATATTAGTTTTCCCCGTCGCCAAATTGTTATGTCCTCGTCGCTAAATTATTCCTATGTACTGGTCGAGAATTTAATAGTCCTGACGCAAGAAAGACGGAAATCAGAAGACCACTAGGTTTGCGATGATACTTCTATTTTCCAAACACAAGGAGAAGCAATAAGTGGTATCACACCAAAGTAGTCAGTGTCACAAGATTGTGAGAGCGAAATATATGTGACCATCCAGACAAGTGTGTGAACAAATCAATAGACAGTCTTAACATGAATGGCTAATTATAATGGAGTATCGATCCATATATACATAGCAAAATATCGCAGACATGTCAACAACCACACATATAATATGGATATATGTCACCAAGCAACGGACTGTCAACAAACACTCATATTATATATAATATAAGGGGAATATACATTGTTAAAGGAGACAGGTCCATCAAAGTGAAATAGGTCACAGACTAAGTGAGCAATAGAAAGAGAGATCACCATACACACACATATATGTACATGTGGATACGTATCAGTTATCAACACGCTCTGCCACTTTACTTAACTTCCTATCTTAAAGGTTGTAGCGAGTCAGTGTTGGCCAGTCCAGTTCTGTGGCATTGTCATCTTACATTTGACAGCAAGAGCGAATTGCATGCCAAACACCCGGAGATTTCTCGCCTATCAAGGTATTCATAAGACTCTGCTTTATTTTTTCAACGTCTTCACCTAGCTTAGGAGGACTTTATCCTCCGCATATTCTAAGTCAACGAGATTATTCCCCTAGGGTATGTATGGCAAAATACTGAGTCTTTCGAAGAAACCACTGAATGGAAATCCTGGAATGTTTAGCGTACGACTGACTTGCGTCAAATGTAAGATAACGAATGCTGTGAGACCTGTCTTTACTGATTCTTAGTTTAAAATATAGAGAGTGAAGTGTTATAGCATGTTGACCCACAACATACTAATGCATAGATACAAAAGCCTAGAATGTAATTGGCTTAGACGTGACACCCTGCTGGTTATCAATCAAAGGGCATGTATGCTACTCCACAGTTCTCTCTGTTTTCATCAATGGCATTATCAGACAAAGATACCGGAAGTGGAAAACGTGAAGAGGTTATCTATAAGTGATTGCGTTCTATCTCCTGTATGAACTGTATATGATATAGTAAGTACAATTAGGTTTAAGCGTAGAATGTTAGGTAGTTAGAATAGGTTGATCAATGAGGTTGTGAACGTGAATTGATCGAAATAGTTAGGGCACGTATTACGCATGTCTAATAACTGCCTCTGATTGAAAAAAAGGGTTCGGGGTGGTGGTCAAACAAAAATCTGGCTTCAGTCCATAAAGTATTTGACAGTTGGTTTGAGCCAGTCACTTAGGGAAGTGTAGATTACTTACTTGAGATACTATGAATTAGTACCTTGAGACTGTTGGTAATATTGTAACGGCAGGAAACAAGGGTCAGGCTAGAGATTGTTTATTGAAGAAATCAAAAGGTATTTATAGATTTTTATGCGCATTATTATTAGGGTTATTGTTAGCAAAGAAGCAACGCCTTCTGATTGGTTGTTTTCTTACTAAAGGTTATTTTATACTGCTTGTAATCGTTTCTTAGAAAGTTAAGCTATATATCTGCGAATCGTTTTTGCACACGTTAAGTCTGCTATGATTGGTTGTTGAGTTCCTCAAGGTTAAGCTTTGTTTTTTCTCTCATGACCTTCATTAGGGACGTTATATTGACGTAAACTGTTGTCTACAATATTTACACCACAATATAACACAAAATCGTTGTTATTGGTAAAGATGCATCAACTTTCTGTAATCTGAAAGATCAACTAAATCCTCTCTTGTCTTTCTATTTGACTCTATTTCTCAGGAAATGTCTACTCATCATGCTGCTTTTGAATCTCTTTTTTCTACTTGTGAGTGTAACATCAGGTGTGCCAACTTGAAGTGGTGCACTTCTGTGTTAAATGATATGTTGGGAGTCAGTTAGAAAGTTATGGGATAGAAGAGGTTGATTTAACGGATAGCTATCACCTCAAAATATTTTAGTGTGCACATCTTAACGGTTTCTAAAGATGATGTATTTGTGCAGTTTTCAAACAGTTTCATATTGCATGAGTCATGAGCAGAGGTATTGTAAATTTCCAGTATACTTTCGAGCTTTATGAGGTTGCCTGATGTTTATCTAATGGTATTGATCATACAGCCATAGAATTCATAGAATGATTATTATTATTATATTTTTGTCCCCTTTAATTTTAAGTGGAACATAGGGCTTCAGCCGCATCGCATCGCCTCCTCCATGTCACCCTCACACTGACGATCAACTTGCCGCTTCCTATGCATCCGGGTTACTCTCGAGCGATGACATTACGTGTGATGGATGTCACTTATTGGTTTGTTTTCTCAGAGTATGGCCACCAATCCACCTCCATTTCTTCTTGCTTATTTGTTGCACAATTAGTTCTTACTGTGTTGATTCATTCCCAGAGATCCCTACCAGCTGCTGATTTTTTCTGGCTAGCCATCTGATCTTGAGTATTGAGCGAAGACAGCTGTTGAGAAAGGTGTGTAGTTTGTTTGAAGTGCTCTTTATGACTCACCAAGCCTGTGATCCGTATAGTAAGTAGCACTGACTTCACATTGAAGTTGAAAATCCGAGGGTCTTACTTATCATGTTGAGCATTTCTATTGATTTCCATACAGACTTGAGAGAAATGAAAGCTTGCTTTGCTTCTCCGATCTTCCCCTTGATATCCTCATCAATTCTATCCACCTTTAGTTGAAACGATGCTTCCCTGATTGTTGTCTGTTGTTGTTACTACTGTTGCTGTTGGCCGGGAATCTTCATCACCTCTGTTTTATCCATGTTCACCTGAAGTCCTATCTTCTCTGGATGCTTCTTATATCGCCAAGTTGTTGCTGTTCACTTGCATATCTCCCAGTTTGTGTGAAATCAGGTATATATCATCGGTGAAGTCCAGATCCTCCAAGATTTTTGTGTCAGTCCATTTTATGCCTGCTTCCTCATTGCCCGCTGTCTGTCGCATTATCCAATCTACCGCCTGCAATCAGGAAGATCATTGGCGATAGTAGGCAGCCTTGCCTCACTCCCGTCCTCACTTAGAAGACTTCCGTAAGTTTCCCGTTGTGGATTACTCTACATGCAGAATTGTCATACAACTGCTGAATGAGATATATAATTGTTGGTGGCACCCCTTGATGGTAGCGAAGTAGTTTCCAAATCACGTCTCAATTGACGCCAGCTGTTGAAGGCCTTTTCAAAGTCAATGATTAGTCAACAAC